GATGTTATGAAATTATTAGTTCATAAGTCCGTAGTTTGCTAGAACATAAATCTAAGCAAGACATGGTGTCTCTTAAAATATCTGCAATGTGCTCATTTACTTTTTAATCATAAAAATCATAATTGCAGATATTATGATTAAAAAGTAAATGAGTGCATTATCATAATCTTTATTTGCATTAGCATTTTATCTGGTGCTTATCAGATATTTAAATTGAGTAATGAAGGCATTAGTCTTATCTCCAAATCAGCCTTATTTGTTAATTACCTTCAAGTCAGCTATACAGTCTAAACTGGGCACAAAATCAAGAATTTTATCATATCCTTTTTCAGATAACAAGTCTTCTAATGGTACTGCTCTACTGCTACATTGTTCTTTTAACTTTGGCAATACTGGAAATAACAATATTTGAATTAGGAAAGTGGAATTTAAAACATGTTACAAATTGATTGTCTAAATCATGAACAATTGATTTATTTAATAATTCAAGTACAATCAAATCAATCAAAGAGCATGGCATAGGGGACAACACATAAAATTTCGAGTATATTGGTACTTATTCCTGTTAGAATTTCTTACAGCAGTTATTTATTAAAGTATGAAGTGTAATTACTTCTTATTTTACAAAAATTATAGAAATAATGAAAATCAAGGCAAGAACTTTGAAAAAATTTTAACTCTCACCTAAAAATATGGGGTTGACAGGTGTACACATCTGAACGCTGCCATCAGATTTAACTGTTTCTCCAATAAACCATGATCTATAAGGTTCATCATATGAAATTATTTCATAGATCTTTTTATTCTTATCATCTAAGCAGTACTTTACAGGTTTTCCACCAGCAGGATGCGGTAATGTGACAATATTAAAGTTATTATTCTCTAGCAAAGAATCTGTAAAACGGAACAATGATTTTAGTGTCAAGTAAACTTAAATTCACATTTATCTTTTGTTTGTAACTTTGTAGTCTTGTTTTGATTAAGTAGTTCTAATTTCAAACCTTTTACGAGCAAGATCCATGAGTTTTCGACACGTTTTTGTACCTGAGGTGACGGGACTTTGGTTTTTGAATTTGATCTTGTTGACATTTTTTAAGGATTGTGATTACTTAATTAAAAATTATTGCTATCTCACAGAGTTGAGTGGTTAACACAGTACACCAAGAACTTGGTTTGGTTTACAATATAATGATTGACATCATAACATTTTGCCGCTTTAAAATGTTGCTTGCTTTGTCCACAGACTAAATATTTAAACAACATTTTGACGTAATATTAATATTGTTCAATGAACTAAAATTATTACAAACCGAAATATTAAAATTCAGTAGGCATCAAATAATAAAATAATTTTATGCCCGTTTTAATACAACACTCCTGGTTTTTCTTTCCATTATTTCCGACAATTTTTAAAACCGGCACTATCGCAAGTATGCCCATCTCTATTGATTAATTTTTACCGATGTTCACACTAATATTTACTGTCATTATTATCACTGTCATTCTTGTCATTTGAATTTGACGTTCGTATGATAACCGCGCTTTTTTAGTTGTCTTGTGTTTCTTTTCAAGTATTCTAGTCAGAAATTGAACTGTATCGCAAATAAACCAAAATGCAGGCTTTCCTAAAAAGTGGTAAACTATCCACATCGGACAAACCGTCATCTTCGGGAGTAAAAACAGCAGGCAAGAAGAAGCCGCCAGCACCATGGGTTGAGAAATAGTAAGTAGTTATGACAAAATATCTTTCTTTTTAAACCTAAATTCAGATATTAAAGATTTAAATATACATTTTCCAGCCGACCGAAGACGATAGATGATATTGTAGATCAAGGAGAAGTAATACAAGTGTTGCGGGAATGTTTATCTGGCGGAGATCTTCCTCACTTGTTGTTCTACGGCCCGCCGGGTACCGGTAAGACGAGTGCCATACTTGCGGCCGCTCGGCAGCTGTTTGGCGATATCTCTCGGGACCGTGTGTTGGAGCTGAATGCTTCAGATGAGCGCGGTATCCAAGTTATCAGGGACAAAGTGAAGACCTTTGCCCAACTCACAGTCAGCAGTAAAAGACCAGAGTAAGTAGAACTTACTAGACTAGAAGACATTGACTGTCTTGTTTCTGTATTGATAATAACAGTCTTACACAGTTGATTAATTGAACATAGAAACAAACAAACAAACAGAATTCACGAAATTTCCTTTCATTACCTACAACTTCAACTTTCATTATACCCATAGTTTCCCAGAATAGATTGAGGCAAGACATTATTTTTTCTATATGTGTGTCATAATAAAAGTAATCCTCAAGTGATGAATCAACTCCGAACTTCTTAATAAATACCTTATTTGAAAGAATTGTTAAAAAGTTGATACAAAAATACATAATACCAACAATCAATATCACACTATCAATTTAATTATCTTCTACTATTTCCAGTGGTCGACCATGCCCACCATACAAGCTGGTGATTCTGGACGAAGCAGACTCCATGACAACTGCAGCTCAGGCGGCACTAAGGCGGACAATGGAGCGAGAGACACGGACCACTCGGTTCTGTCTAATCTGTAACTATGTCTCCAGGATCATCCCGCCAATCACTAGCAGATGTTCCAAATTCCGCTTCAAGCCTTTGGCAAGAGAAAATGTTATTAAGAGGTATGAGATCATTTGTTTATAATTAAAGAATGGGAAATAATAATGCAAGTGTCTGTCGGCGTCACAGAAGACTGACGTGAAGCAACACTTGCGTTGTGTCTTGTTGTGAGAGTGAGGTTATCGTTATCCCTGAATCCTGAATCCTGAACATTCTTTAAATTCCTAATCCCAAAATGCCGGTTACGCACTTGTAACGCCCCCGGTGTTCCAGGTGTCCATGGGCAACGCCGATTGCTTACCATCAGGTGATCCGACTGCTCTTTACTGGATTATTCCTTAAAATAAAATGAATTCGTTCTTGACTGTAGGTAGGGGTAATTTAGATATTTTATGTATTCTCATTATACTAGTGCTTAAAATACAATTCATCTCATTGTGATATTAGATCTCGAATCTGGAGTCAATCGAATCACTCTCTACTATTTGGGACTTTTTTATGATATGCACCACTATGAATGACTCTATTTAGGGTTCCTACCTACAAAAAGCGTGATGTTATGTAATATTCTTATATAATTACATTTTATTATCAAAATTGCAGGTTACGTGAGATCTGTGAAGCTGAAGGCGTAGATGTGGGCGACGGTGAAGTGTTACACCAGGCAGTAGACACATGTGAAGGAGACTTGCGGCGAGCACTCACTGCCATGCAGTGTTGTCAACGACTGCTAGGGAAGATCACTGCTGAAGGACTTGTGGAGGTATAATTAATTGTATTAAAGAAATCCCTGTCCCATATAATTCACTTCCACACTGTTTCATTCACTGCTTCTATTGATTGTAGCGTGATGTTCATAGCTTGTTAAAAAGACCCTTCAACACAGAAATAATTATTACCTCTAAACAAATAGTTCCGGAGGCTTTATAACGTTATTATAGTTTCAGGCAAAATACTTCTATGATTTATATTAATTTCATTTGGACTTCATAGTCGCAAATAATCTAGTATATTTCAAAATGACCTAGGTAACTTATATTTCTCAATTGTTGGCACAAATCTCGTGATACCTTTGATTTTGCTGGTATTTATAGCATTAAACAACCCATTAGTAGTACTAGTACGAGAAGAACAATACATTTACACTTCTGTTGTTACAGAAGTGCATTTACACTTCTGTTGTTACAATACATTTACACTTCTGTTGTTACAGAAGTGTAAATGTATTGTTTCTTCTCGTAGGTAAGTAGTGTATAAAATAATCTTCACATCATCTCTTTGGTAAACAGGTTACCGGTCTTGTTCCTGAGGACCTTGTCAATCAGTACCTCGGTGTCAAAAACTACAGTGAACTCGAGAAGTTTGTTGAAAGGTAGGTAAACCAATAAAAGAGCGATAATTTACCAAGAAAAGATTAAAATATATGGCGTAGCCATATAAATAGTTTGAGAAATGCTCGGCTAGTTTCAAGCTGTACCAGGACCTGTATTAATAAACAGACGACATCGGATTTATTTTAACCACAATAGTTGACTCACAAAAATAGTTCCTAAACATTAGAGATTTATCAATAAAATTCCATAATCACTACCTTTGTTTTCTATAACACAATAATCATCCACCAGTTTCCTGATGGAGGCCTACTCCGCATCACAACTCTTGGAGCAGCTAAGTGCAACAGTGGTGACTGCAGGTCATCTCACCAACAAACAGAAGTGCGAGATCAGTGAGAAGGTGGCTATCTGCTCCCATAGACTGCTGGATGGTGGTGCCGAGTACATGCAGCTCACAGATCTTGGCTGTACCATTATAATGGCGAATAATAACCCTTAAGGAAGTAGATTTAAGGTCTGTTATTTGATATATTTATGTAGTTAAGACCTTTGCAAGTTGAAGTGTGAGCAATCATCGTTATACTGCCAAACAAGGATGTTGAAAATAAGGCGAACTGTCACTTAGAAATGATTGAAGCACCAAAATGTCAGTGGTGTATTTATGTGTGCGTGTACTTGCAACACTGTATTATATGAAGTGTAATGACGGGCCAAGACACGCGAGAGATGTCCTTCGTGACAATGTGTGTGTATTCTGCGTGTAAGTCTGTAGTAGCCAGGTCCCACAGACGATGTTTCAAGAGACTGTCTCCGCCTTTTTTCAACGCCCTTGCTGCCAACTGCCGGTGTGATAATGATTGATGACGTGTTTACTTTTTAAAAACATTCGTTTATTATTATTCTGTGGTCTGTTTTGTCATTGCACTCAAATGACAAAATATTAAGACATCTGAATTGAAAGGAGGAAGTAAAAAATGAAAGAAAGAATAAATGAAAATAACTTATAATTATGTAATCATCACACTATTTACCTTTTGCTGGAAGAAGAAAATAAAAAATAATAATTACTGAATACCAACCAGTTTTATCAATTCCGTAGATGTAAGTTTTCTATTTAAGTGTTACCAGCTACAAATATGTGGAACTGTGCGTGTTGCCAGATTAAAAAGAAAACATTGCTGGTTCTAGCATCTCCCTTCAACTTAATAGATTTCCAACTCTGTACGTAGACATTCTGCTACTAGGTCTAAGAATACAGTAATAGTACATTGTATATAAATTGGCACCACACTGTAGGCTACCGGTTTTTCATTGACCACATAGTAATATAACTTGCCGTGTAATCTTTTTGTTCAATCATTGATACCAGGTAATCCTCTATTGTACAAACTCGAGCTATCAGAGAGCTTAGTACTAATTTGTTTTACATTTAAAGTACTCGAAACGAAACGCCGTTCGGCGCTCTGATTGGCTGGCTCATATGAATTTTACCTGGGTCAGGGTCACCTGGTAAGTAATCGGTGTCGACCATGGACACCCGGAACACCAGAGGCGTTACAAGTGCGTTACCGGCCTTTTGGGGATTAGGAATTTGAGGATTGTTGGGAATTCAGGGATTAATTAGTAATTGGGTCTCCAGTAACCTCATTCACACGACGAAACACTACGCAAGCGTTGTGCGACGTGGTTTTCTGAGAGGCCGTGGTTGCCCATTCGTGCCGAAGCATGGCTCTCCCATACTTAACCAAAGAGTCACAGCACCGAACGAGGTCTCGTTTCGATTACTTTGAACGTAAAAAACTCGTATTAAGCCGTCTGGATATAAAAATGATAACCCTTAACAGTCACGTGTTGCCATCTGTAATATATATAAACTTTTACATACAGAGTGCCAGATTGCGCGTTCGGCGCTGTGATTGGCCGGCTCCAGTAAACCAACCAATCAGAGAGTATTATCGATACGTTACGAATGCGATAGTTATTCGTGCTTGGCACTCGGATGCATGTGATCGCGTAATAAAATTCCTTTTAATAGACTGTCTTTATATTACATGCAGGCAGGTAATTGCTTAGCAATATTACATTGGAAATATTATTGCATAGATTATGTTAATGATTGTTTTTTTTTTGTGAAACATGTGAGAATGTGGTTTGAAATCAATACATTATTGAGTTTTTAATTTTTGTTTCTTTTATTACTATGAAGTACCCACACCCCAACTAGATATCTCCTAACAAGGTTTTAAACCGTTGAAAAATACACTTTGTGACCACAACATAATTATGTTATTGTGAGCTAGCTACTGTTTATACACCTAAAAATATCTCTGGAAATCAACTAAGTAAAGGACGCTGATAGAGCATACATCAATCCTTTCGATTTATTTGGCCAATAGGCGACCGGCCTACCTAATCGAATCTTCACGAAGATATAATTTGGCCACGTTAGTGTCGGTCGTTGCGAAACGTATCATTCGCCTCATCCTGAGTTAAAGCTTGTTAATGTAAGTAGGGACCTTCTTTACTTAATGCGCGATAGTTTATAACCGTCCTTGTGTTGCAAGATGTAAAATATTACGTATCGATGCATTTTTGGATTTAAGACCATATTTTCTTTAAATTCTTATTATAATGCCTTCGCTATATGCGACCTATTTATTTCTGAAAGTAAGTTAGTCTGTATTCTGTATATCATTCAATTTATTTACGCCAAAGGCCTAAATATAATGTAGATGAATGTGTACAATAAGTGTCAATTAATAATTTCATGCTAAGTTGCATAATAGCCGCCCCGTAACACATTAATAATGAAACTAATTGCAAGTTTGTGTTACTATTTAAAGTTTCGATGAAACGTTGACAACTCATATCTATGGATTTCAATCCAACTCGGTTCGTAAATGATACCTTTGTGTTTATGCATGAGATATTCAAGAAATAGTTCATTGATTATAATGTGCGCATTTAAACCGTGTGATTATTGTCAACGTGGTATTGCACGCTTTGTGGCCGCCACGGTACTTTACAATTACCGCTGCAGTCACAAACGTGTTACTAATGCACTTTGTTATCTCAATTGCATTTAGATTCGATTATGAAGTCTATCAATATTGTCAGAATAAAGCAGCTTACAGTAATAACTAAGTTTGAATGTACCAAACGACGACATGATTGACTGCATCGTCTATAAAGTATCTTTTTACTTTCATTCATAACGTCGGCCGTTTAAAATCTGTTGTCAGGTGGATAGTAGCACTACCACCGAGTGTGCAGTTTACGCGCGCGTTCATTTCACTTCCGCTGTCGGTTGAACGGACTGGCGAGTAGGAAAGAAGAAAATAACGTTCTTATAGAAAGATAATATCGGGCGGCGCGGTGGTTCGCCCCTCCACCGCGGTGTGCGCTGCGATTGGTCGCCACGACCCTTGGCTCCCCCCTCCGCCGCACGCGCAGCGTCTAGCTTTCCAGATTTCAAATCTCGACCGTTTATTTCATAGTGAGCGGGCAGAGCGCGCGGGCCGCGCTCCGCACTCCGTCGCTGGAGCGCGCCGCATACAATCATGATTGTTTAAAAAAAAAACACGGCAACGTGCTCGTGAACGGTTCGGTGCTACAACGTGACATCGCTAACGATCAGTGCGTGCAGTGCGTCGTGCTCGACGGTTCCACGAATCAGCGGCGGCGGAAAGGTCAATTTCTTTCGATGAGTGGAGGTTTAGTGCATGTTTCTGTACATCATGACTAGATCCACACTCATCCATGGAAGTTGCGAGGTTCTTCGGGAAGCAGCGCAGGAGTTAGCGTACGCGACGAGAGCGTCAGAGCCGGTGATTACGGCCGGGTATGATTACCGTGCGCGTAATGATACGTTGAGCGGCAGGTACGCGCTCTAACGCCGCGGTAACCTCCGCGCCTCTACCTGCGCGCACCCGCCCAAATAATGTCATTTAGATACACTCCGCGCCGGTTAGCTATTGGTTGTTCAATGTAAGTTTTTGTAGTTGTTTTTCATAAATTTCAAAGGTAAAGAATTGGAAGTTTTTTTTAGCGCTTAAGTCACGGCTTGCTCTTGAGCGTCGCTTGAAGAACGTGAGGTACATTAAGTTAGATTGGACCTGTAAGGTTATCGGCGTCCATTCGAAAACCTCACGTGCGACCGGGGGTGAGCATGTAGGGGTGCGGGGGGTGGGCGGCAGATAGCGGCGCAGGCGCATCTGCTCCTTCTGAGAAAGGCCATTGTGGCGGTCCCGGAGTGGTCAGTGCGGTGACGTCACGGGCCGGGGCCGACAACCTTCCCCCCGCGGCCCGCGCGCCGACGCTATACCTACACAACATTGAGGTACATCCGACAGCGATCGCAAATGATTCTCAGAGATTAGTTGCCATGTTATTTGTTAATGTATTTGTTATTACCTCGCTATCTTTTTATTTACATTCCGAATCCACTAAGGTGGGCTAAACCGCTCTTGTGGAACTTCTAATGAATGAACATTAACTGAACAGGATAACTTGATATTGTTGGTTTTCCCTATCTGTGAATAGTGTGAATTACACGTTTGTTCAGGTCTGTCTTTAATCTTGTAACTTAATATTCTCCCAAATACCATGCTCAACATGGGATTGTTAGAAAGGCGGGAATCCTGCTAACTGTTCTTGCAATAGTCCTGATAGGGAAATCTTGTATGTCACTGATATGTCATATATTTTAAGAATCCTTCAGCTCCCTATAATGTTTGACTTCATCAAAGTACATGAGGTCGTGCCTAAGTAATGTTTTACGGTATCATTGTTGACTCTCTCACTCACTTAAAATTCATGCTCAGTTCCGAATGCCCCAAGCCGATTGTAAAGATAACTTAATCCCAGCAATGGCCCTTACTTTGTACTCAAATAATAATACCCGGCTCGGTAATAATAATATTCCCGCCAATTCTAGAAACCGAAGTTGAAAACGAGCTATCATTCAAACCCCGACTGGCTATTACACCCTAATGAACAAATTGTTCGGCTTTCTCAAGAAACGGTCGTATTCTCAAAAACCCCAGCGCGTCCAACAAAGCAATTTCACAAATTCTTTTCAGAGTAAATTATACTGTGTCCATCAAGAGTGTCGGGTCTCTGTTATTTCTACATGTTTTTATGCGTCGTAGAGTTACTTAATAGTGTTCCGGGTAGTGGGTTTAGTGGGGCAGGTACCCAGCCCCAGGTAGAAGGTATAAAGCGCGGGCCCGACAAAAAAATAATTATGTAAGGCCCCGCTTGTAAACGTTTTGTTAAAAGTGAGAATAAGACGTACGGAACGTTCGGATGTCGGGACTAGCGCTCGCCGCTTGCAGCTACATTTTTCATAACAAATTATCGCATTAATTTTATTACTTGTAATTTTTCCGCTACTCGGTTTTTCTACGAATGTGTTTTATTACTTTTAAATTAATTAGTCGGGTCTTTAATTGCAAGAATAACTAGGCTTGTAATGAAATGAACTACGTTTAATGTTAATTTTACGTTTCACCGAGTGCTTCGTGAGCGAGGCAAAGACCATGTTAATTTAATTACCTCATATGGCAATCAAACAGGTATAATATATTCTGGAAACTCGCTCTCGGGGTCGCCTCATTTCCCATGATTCCAGAAATCGTGACATGTAGTCTAATGTAAACATGTCTGGGATACAGTTGACCTTTGATTTAGACTTTCAATATCGAGATTATCTTTAAAATATGTGGAGATTTATAGCCTGTACACGGACAATCTTCATGAATACTCAAACGATATGTATCTAGCGCAAATATTACGAGTTTATTTCAGAACATGTTATACCTAAATAGGAAACGGAATACGAAGAATAACTATACGGCCTGGAACTACTCCTTGAACACATCGTGTAATTCATTTTATACTTAACTGAACAGTGGACTTAGCCGGCCGGGCAGCCTGTACAGATGCTGAAGTATAAGCGTCGGTAAACAAGAGTGTAGGCCGTTGTGTTATTCCCATGAAGTCGGAGTTATGTGTATTGTATGCGCGTGCTCACGACGAACGCTATTTTTTTGTCGTGTAAACATTGCGCTTCCGCGTTAGCTGGGCCGTGCGAACCGCGAGGGTCGAGGGAACCGCCCGACCTAACGTAAGTTTCCTTTGTTTAACACTTGACGCATTAGTAGGTAATGTTCGCACAGTTATCGCTACGCGAATGTTGCACTGCCGACTCTCAACTCTCGCTATGAAAATGAGATTTTTTCCTGTGACTGTTTCTGACATGTTGATGACTTGATGAGTCAGTTCAGTTAGGGAGATACAAACAAGACCAAACTAAAAATAAAGAATTACACACATGCTAATTGTTTAGTTATGTATGCATGCACATGCACACTGTTCGAAATAGACTGCGAGGGGGAAAATGCACCCTCTCTCTAGTTCCCATGAACTTTAAATATTCAAATGCCCTGTAGCATAGGTATGCCATAAAAGTGACGAGGGCGACAAAATGAAAGGAATTTAAATTAGTTTTTGATTGTTTATGAAGATACTAGAGGCTGACATGACGCACGTCTACACAACGGAATACGCTTAGAGCGGTTGATGTAGCCCCTTGTTGT